ACACTTCTTGTCATAACACAAAAACAATCAGCATTTCATTTCTAATCACCGCATTAAATATCACGGAGGGAGAACTTGAGTTACACGAGGCGGAACATTTGCATATTACATGGAACCGAGGGGGGAAACTAGGCAAGGCGAAGGGGTTTAACCAGCAGCTTCATTTCCTTACTGTTAGCACATTGTTTTTCCGAAACATAATCCTTTCTCAAACTTTCCTCTAAAATCTACTGTAATATTTTTTGTCGTCATTGCTTCTACAACAAATCCTAACAATCGCTTTTGAATTTCAGAAATATGTGCTTCTCTCGTTGCTGCTCCATGAAAAAATCATCCCACTGCCGCATTATCGTTCGCCAGCGGTTATGCGTACCGTGAGTGCAGCATGCCAGAACTATATAGCGCTCTCAAAAATCTATACCAATGAGGAGAAGAATTTTGACAAAGCAGGTGCCGTACGTGAATACCTCGAAGCACATCAGGATATGTTGGATTCGGTTCCTTTTTGTGTTTTTTTTTTTTTTAATTTTTTAGTTATTTTCATCAATTTCCTTCTTTTTTTGGGGGATATGAATGCCGTATTTTGAAGAATTAACGAACGACTAGGTCAGATTTAGTAGGATCGCCAACATCGTCTGTGTATTGAAATTGTTAATTTGGAAAATTTGGCTGTTTGAAAGCGTAGAAGATGTTTTTTTTTGACAACTCCAGGTTTGGAATAGTTTGTAAAAGTTCGAAATACTATGAAAAATCCGGAATATCTGGGGTTTTTCAGTACAGCGTATCAGATCGATTCCTTTTTTTGTCGTAATTTATGGCAGTTTTGAGAATTCAGAAACGAACAGAGCAATCAGATTAAATCCAGTATTTTAAATTACTGGTATATGGAAAAAAAATAAGGTTTTGAACTCTTTTGGCATCCTGCCAACTGCAAGTTTATGTTGTGTGGTATCAATTCAAAACTTATGGTGAAAAGTTAACGATATGCTTTTATAATAAGCTTAGCAAGCCTTGGCTGTTTCGAGATATCTTTGACGTATCTTGTCCCAGACGTTTTCACACCTCTACCACACAGCAAAGTACTAGGAATCAGATGATAATAAATCGGAAGCCTTTAAAATGTTGCTTACTGAAGATTCATCGTATTCATCGTAAGATTAACCGTAAGATTCATCGTATAAAACTTAACATTGACTTTTTCTCAAGATGGACAACAGTGAATTATGTGAAATCAGTGATGAAGATGAAGAAATGGGCGCATCATCATGGAATGGTAAAATATCGAAAAATTCAAGTGATAACTGCACCGACAGTGATCGCCGCAACAGGGAAAGGGTATGCCTTCGGCGTTTATGCTGTTTTAGCTGAATGAAACTGGTGCATTATAAAAAGCGGGTTTGGTTCTTCAACTGTGTGACTTGTAGTTTTTCCCAGTTGCTAAAGTTTTTTACGGGTAAGTTCATAACTCGAGAAGCTAGAAGGCTGTAATTTTAAGAGGATGTTCCTCGTCCACTTATGTCTCAGTGAGCTCAAACCCAGACGTCGGGTATGCGTGGTACCCACGTGCGGGCCCGTGAAATTTTTTTTCCAGTAACTTACTAAGTCAGGAGCCAGGAAAACTAGGAAGCTGAAATTTTAAGGGGTGTTCCCTGCCAGTTCTGGCGGCCAGTCAATTTGTTTAGCTAGAAACATTTGACGAAAAAACCGATGCTTGTAACGACAAAAACTGCGGAGAATTATGCAAAAAACGCATCTTCTCATGGGCAGCCCGTGCGTTGGCCAATTATTTTGTTTTT